TAAACACATTTCATTACACCAAATACACAAAATAATGTTATTTTTAGCAGCATCATATGACCCCTTTAAAGAAATTAAATGTTTTTTTTAGAACCATTAAGATTTCCACTTTCACTAATTAAACCAAATATAAATTAAATAAATAAATTGTAAATAGTACAATTAAATAGATCATTAAAATATAAATCATTTAAATTTAAATGTATACAAACAAACACAAACCCCAAACATTTCTGTCAGGGCATTATCCATTAATTTTACGGACATTTCCATCAACTGTAAAACACAACGCAATGCAATGCAATGCAAAATTCTAAATATAGGTTAAACACCTGTAAAAAATCAATACAGAAAATTCCTTTATATTAATACCGTACATTGTGGCCTTTTTTTTTTTTTTGACAATACACATTTTTTGGAGTGTATTTATGCATTGTGTTTAAATAATTGTAGTATTGCTTTTATGCCTTTCATTTAGGCTAATTTAAATAAGAAATGTGTTAATGGACTTCACACCAAGAATGACAAGTACAAAGATAACTATAACGCTAACTATATTAGTGATCACACCACAGGGTGATAATTTTTTTGTTTATTTTAATTGTGCGCTGCCGTTTTGAATGCTTCAACAATATTGTTCCTCTGTGCCGTCATATCTTTGTGGTTGTGGTGTAGACTTCACTATTCTCATAGAATTAGAATGATTATTACAACTTTATAGTTACGGACATAGTTATACTTAGTGTTATAGTTATTGCCGAATGGATTTTTACAGTAAAGGTTAAGGTTTAATTGTTGTAATACAGTGAAAATTACTATATGGTAATAATAGGAATCTAATGAGAATCATCAATGAAAATAATGGTAATTACTGAAAAAGTAAAATGGCTTTATGGTGATGAAAATAAGATTACTTTTCTTTATGTAAAAAGACATTTCTCATTTTTACGTTTTCATTTTGGGATGAAATGTTACCTGGTCATGTTGTCATGCGATTAATTTTTTTATTCAACAGTACAAGAAAACTAAAAAATAGTACATTTCGGATTCAGAAATCATGCCTGACATTTACCTTTCACTATTTTTCACAAAAACACATCCAACCATCAGACAGAAGAAATAAGCGGGCAGGAATTTGGAGGATCAGGTGACTGCAAGGAAATACAGCATGTTGCGTTTCTGTTGCAGGTCTTGTATGTGGTGCTGTGGTGCGCTGTGTACTCTACCATTCACATGTACCTCGATGGCAGCACAGCAGAGTTCTGGGTGCTCTGTCTGTGTGTCAGTCTGGTGTCCGTGATCCTCACCTCCGCCATCAACCTCATCTTCCACTACAGCAACAGAGAGGTGGGCTGTCACGTGATCACATCACTCGCTCTTTCTTGTAAAAACAAACCCGTATTCCCTTTTAATGCAGATCTGATTGTAGCTGAGATTAAGAGGTGCATCTGTTTCAGATCAACATGAACACAGACGTGCGGTTGGTGGGGGTTAATGAGCACACGGTCAGACACAAGCTGCTGTTGGGAGTGGCTGACTGGGTCCAGAAATGCAGAGGAAACCTGCAGGTAATTACTCATAATGTGTGTTTACTGTATACTGTATCTCCACTCTTGTCAGCATGATCATCATTCATTGAATGGCCTTTTTGAATTGGGTGAGGAGTCAATTATGTTTTATGGCAGAAGGTAACAGGTTTTGATCATCACTGCTGATTGTGCGATGTACTTTGTACACATTTTATGCGATCAAGCGTGCCAGAAAATATTACTAATTAACCAGTATATGTGGCGTCTTACTCACAAAACTACATTTCCCATCATCCTTTGTGGCAGCATGAGAAATTTAAAGGGATAGTTCCCCCAAATATGAAGAAGTCAAAACTGTTTGATGTTTTTTTTCTTTTGCAGAATGTCTCAGTGTTATTTTTGTTCACACCGTGGAAGTCATTGTGTACCAAAATTGTTTGGTTATCGACATTCTTCAAAATATAATCTTTTGTGTTCCAGAGAGTAAATAAATAAAGTCAAACGGGTTTGGAACGACAATAGGGTGTGTAAATGAAGACAGAATTACTATCCCTTTAAATATAGATATGAAGCATAAGCTACAGTACACACCTACCAGCATCTATTATTGCTTACAATCTTCCTGGTTTTGTTTGGGAGTGAAATAGAGAAAAAGAAATATGGGACTTTAAACGAATGTGTCTATTTTGACCAAATTTATTTGCATGCATATACCAAATTTATTTGCATGCATGGTCTATGCATGCAAATAAATTTGGTCAAAATAGACACATTCGTTCAAATTCCAATATTTAATATTTCTTTTTCTCTATTTCACTCCCAAACAAAACCAGGAAGATTGTAAGCAATAATAGATTTCTGAATTTGTAAGCCAGAAAGTTGAGAGTGACGGTTAACGGTCTAGTGGTACTCTAGAGAGTAAAAGAGATTGTAAACTGTACTGTATAATCAGATAACTGAACGCCTTCCTGAGTTGCACCCTTATCTTGATTTCTTCTTCTGTAGTCTATCTGATGGAACTGATAATGTGTATAGAGCCATGAACAGACTTGTTTAACTGCTCTTCTGCTTGATCTTTCTTTCTGTCCGCAGCTCTTCTGTGTGTACTGGGACTTGTCCCCATGTCTGATATCTCTGACTGAAGCGTTGAACGACACGAGTTTTGTCAGGGATCAAGTACAGGTTGGCTTGCTTTTGTTCATTGATTTGTTCTTATGTTGATGCTTCAAGGGCTCCATAGAAAATAATCAATACACAAATGTTTTGTGCTACAAAAGCAGTGGTACATCAAACAACTGTAGAGCGCAGATTAAATCCAAATGTTGCTCTTCAACAGTTTACGGTTTAGTCTCACTCAGATAGGAAGACAAAAATGATGAGAGAACAGGGTTATTATAGTTAATGAAAGCTAAAAAAATGTTATGTTAACTGAAAAAAAAGTAAACTTGTTTTATTTCAGGTAGTTGACAGGCATCATTTCTCATTTTCATTTAGTTTGACTTGATGTACTAAAATAACAAAAATTAATCAACTACATGTAGACATATTTAAAACAAAAACGATAACTAATAAAAACGACAGGAAACCACAACAAAATGACTAAAACTGTAACTATAATTAACTAAAAATGTGAATAAAACTATAATAGTATGTCGGTGATACTAAAATAACACTGCAAGAGAAAGAAACATGTCACAAAGTTGCCCTTTCACCCTGCAGAACAAACTCAAGAAAAGAATGTCCCACCTAGTTCTAGTGACCGAGGTCACGACCCTGGATCCCGAGACTGGAGTACAGGACGAGGAGCTTCCAGAAGAAGAGCAGCCGCTGCTGGTGGAGGGACGAGAGCGAAGCGCATCAACTAGTCAACGGGAAGACTCTAAACTCACCAAAAACTTCAGCTTGATGCCTGACACCACTCTCTCAAATCAGGTGAAAAAATATCAATTATTCATATAAATAAGTGTCCCTATATTCTTACCAATGGTGGCTTGAATGAGAATTCTACATGAAAACTGATTCAGATTCAAATTGATCAAATACAACACATGGTAACAATAGAAGATTATAGTACTTTACCATATTTTTTCTAATATATTAGGAAATCCTTGATCATTAAGGCTGCATAATAATATTTCCCATCACCAAACCAACAACTGTCATTATAGGAAAATGAATTGGACAAATCAGGCAGGTCATCTGAAGGTTTAGCAGACCTCCTCCTATAATGTATTTGTTTATTTATATGGAAATGATGTCCCATCGTTTGCATAACCATTCTGATTGGTTAGTTTGTGCATCATAGGAGACTAGGCAACAAGACTCCTCTCTTTCATTTATGCAATAATTCAGTCACCTAGACTACTGAAGTTGATTAAAATAAATTTTTATTCATTAAATGCAACTTAATTATTCTCATAGGGGGGAAAAAATGGTAAAAACGAGAATTTTATTTGAGTCTTCAGTTGAATCGTATAGATTCTATAATCCAAGTAAAGACTATGCAACTGTTTTCTTCAGGTGATTGCTCAGCAGCTCCTGATGACCTACAGTGCACTTTATGTCAGACTGCTGGTCTCAAACAAGCTTCCTGCTCCTCCCCAGCGGCCTACAGGTGCAGGGAAAAATCATTCCACTTCCTGTCTGTGTCTGTGTGAGTACGTGGAGCTGAAGGTCCTGCGGTAGACAGACTATAATGACTATCAAATCTCACATTCAAAAGTATTAGTCATCCATTTCTCTGGGATGATTGTTTTGCTGTCAGTTATGATATAGTCACAGACTGTTCCTGCTGCTCTTGAAACTGTTATGATTTCATCTGTGTACTGAAATATATTTTTGTTTCCTGACTTGTGGTTCTCTATTTATACCATATGCTCTCCATGTGTGAAAGAATGAAGTGACAGTTGACAGTTCTTGTATTAACCAGACAAACTGACAAGACCATCAGTCGCACTGATCCAAAACCTTGCTCAACATAGCTGTATTTTTTTTTTAAATCATGACTTTATCTTTATGAGATTCTGATTACACTGTCTCAACCAGGTACAAAGCAACAAGTGATAAAAAGTAATCACCTCAACATTTATAAACATGGATTTTTGCAAATTTCCAGATGATACAGGATATATTGAACCAAGCAAAAATTTAGGATGGTCAAAGGACTTGAGTTTATCAGTACCTTCGGTACCTTTCGGTATTGGCTTTGTACAACAATTTGTAGTTATAAAGTTATTACAGTTTTTTTTAATTGGTTTGGTACTATTTTCACAAGCAAGTGGTACATTTTCAAAACTCTTAGTACAAATCAACAACAAATCATCAAAAGTGCACTTTTTTCAAACATTTCAGCATATTTTCCATTCTTTTAGTACAATACACACAATCACAAAATATCCTTCTCACTACACAAAATAAGTGTTTCATCTATATAAATGTTTCAGTCACAGTAACTGCCTTTCATGAAGCTCTTACGATCAAACTTTTCATTTGCATGACTTCTCATTCAGTTTAATACATTAGTCTATTATTTAATCTAACTCATCTTCATGGTTAATCAGTGAATCATTTGATGCATATATAGATATAGATTCAATAGACAGATGGCATCAAATACAGCATTTTACATTACATTATTCCATGTGATACTGTATACAGAAGTATTACCATGGTAAAGACATTATTGATTTTATGTGAGATATGCAAGTTAGGTAACGTAAGTGTATTTTCTAACATGACAGTTATTGCCTGTTTTACTGTATTTCAGCAACAAAGGTGATTTGAAACATGAATCTTGCATTGCTTGCTCTTGAATGAACTGATTGTTAAAAGTACTAACTTGAAAGAAGATCTTACTGTTGTGTTTTGGTGATTAAAACAAATGTTCTCAATACATATCACGATGATCTTGTGTTCTGAAACAATGATTATGTGGCATGAAAATATGTACAGCTACAATGAAATCATGAGATCAGGTTTTGAAAGAATGACTAGTGGTGTTAAAAGTGTGATCAGTTGTGTACACCTCACTTGTGAAAATAGTACCAAACCAATAAAAAAAAAAAACTGTAAACATACGTTTGGGAGGAGTACGCCCATCTAATTTCTAATTATTTCCAGGATATAAAAGCAACCTCTTAATTCTTCACGATGTCAGTTCTTTCGGCATTCCTCCTTCTCCTTCTTGTGTTTCTCCTCCATGTGTTTTGCCTATGTAATCATCAATAGGCAAATCAGAGCTCGAGTAGAACATCCTCCCTGAGCCCCTCCATAGCAGACAGCCAAAAACGGCTCATGTTTGCCAAGATTATATTAGTTAACTATGTTATTTAACATGAATTAACAATTAAAAATACTTCTTAATCATTTATTAATCTCATTAATTCATTTCAACATTTAGTAATACATTATTAAAATCAAAAGTTGTATCTGTTAATATTATTTAAGGAAAATGTTAACCCAAAAATGGAAAATTTGCTGAAAATGTATTCACCCTCAGGCCATTCAAGATGTAGATTTAGAGTTTGTTTCTTCATCAGAACAGATTTGGAGAAATTTAGCATTACATCACTTACTCACCAGTGGATCCTCTGCAGCGAATGGGTGCCGTCAGAATGAGAGTCCAAACAGCTGATAAAAACATCACAATAATCCACAAGTAATCCACACCACTCCAGTCCATCAATTAACCTCTTGTGAAGAAAAACGCTGCGGGTTTATGAGAAACAACTCTATCATTAACTTTAAACCGTCATGGTCAAAAAAGTCTATAATCTATTATAACACTTCCTCCAGTGAAAAGTCCATCTTCTGTTTTTCTGTCACATAAAAATCCACCGACATATTTAGAACTGTTTTGGTCTGTTTGGCTTGTAAATGGTACTTGATCTGTGCATATTTCTCTCCTGATTCCAATGGAGAAAACAATTTTATGGACAGAGGACTTGTATTTTAGCTGGAAGCAATGATCTGAAGTTAAAAATGTCTTAATGATGGATTTGTTTCTTATAAAACTGATGGACTGGAGTGGTGTGGATTACTTGTGGATTATTGTGATGTTTTTATCAGCACTCATTCTGACGGCACCCATTCACTGCAGAGGATCCATTGGTGAGCAAGTGATGTAATGCTATATTTCTCCAAATCTTAAGAAACATCCTCCTAAAGGTGAGTGAAGCATTCGGTTATTGTTAGTTAATACATTCGCTAATTGATTGGATAGTGAAAAGTGTCTCTGTATACAAAGTAGTTGGAGGGGTGGGGCTAAAAATAAGAGGGACTGATGATGTCAGCCAAATAGGAAAGTTGTTTAAGAGGCAGAGAAAGTTATTTACATATTGATGGAAAATTATAAAGGCAAACATTTTTGTTTGTTTTGAATAATGTGCACTGACAAATCATTCACAAAATGATTTTTGTGCATGTTTTTTAAAGTAAGGGCCATTTTTGATTTGTTATCTTAATCTGTGGTGAGCACAAGCAGTCGTTAAACATGAAATATGTGATTCTGCTGCTTTTTCACTTTCCGTGCGAACAGAGAAATTACTTGTCACTGGAAACTTGTCGTGTCTAGTTAGGACACTGTGTAAAGCGCGGGTCTTACGTAAGTCTGGTGAGGGGAGGACAGTGCAGGGAGAGCGGAGAGAGCCAGTGTGGCAGAGATAGGAAATGACAGTAAGGGTGTCAACATGAATCAAGCAGCGAGTCAGTGAATCAACACTGCACTGCTCAAAGCTCGGCACAAATAGCACTTGGGTATGCAATCCTAACCAACAGAGCGCAGCGGCTCCAAACAGCATAGCGCTGTGAGGGACGTGTACACCAGATGTAGCCCACCAACACAGGCTGTTAATCAGCCTTGATGGAGCTGTGGAGGTGATTGCTGGGTGAGTACATAGGCGACACAACACACGGCGTGAGGGTCAGAGCAGAGGAGACAAAACTGTGTTGAGGAAGACGGCAGGCCTGCGGTGTTAAATGATTACTGAAACGATGGGTCTCTTCAGGAGGCTAAACGACCATCTGCAATCTGGCCTGCTTCCTTCTTCTAACTCCATTCATCTCTCTTCTCTCTCACCACTTTCCATTTTGGATGAAATTCACAAAGAACACGCGCAGGGCATATTTCACCCCAAAATCAAAAGATACACATGAGAAATCACGTTTTAAAAATGAAGAAGACTATTTTAGGCAGTGTCATTTTAGTATTATTTATACACTATTACAGCATTTATTTGTAGTAGTAGTATTAGTAATTTATACACTTTCCCTCCAATATGTTTAAATGTGTGAAACACACATCCAGCGACCACTGTTTAATACACAAGTCAAATGCACTAGATATTACAATTATGGTAGCCTAAAACTTAGATAATAAATTTCAGCATAAGGATAATGAACAGCACTATATTATTATATTTAATAACATCACTTTAATATTAGTGCTAATTAATATTTATTCGTTTTAGTACATGCAACTTTTTGTTTTCCCCATCTAATATTTTAGGTTTATTTGCAATTAATTTCAAACAAAAACTTTTTATTGTTCTAGTTTTAATGATCAACAATAACACTGTTTACAGAACCATTGAAAAAAAAAAACGGCAAAAAACAACCCCCCCCCCCCAAAAAAAAACACTGCATTACAGTAAATTTTTTATGTAATACAATTACTATATTTTAGAATCTATATCCATTAGACTATAAATGAGAACTCAAAATTTAAATTTCAGAAACACATCATGGTAATAAACTTTGCTTACAATACAGAACAGTCCAAAAGATTAACATAACCATTTCCTCATTTTACCACAAAATAAATGAATAGTTTAAAACATAAAGTAACATGAGATGAAGACTCACATGACCAACATAATACTACTCACTTTTTCTCTGTAACCCATCTTCTATTGGACACTCTCACTCATGAAATAAATGAATCATAACTTTCTGCAAAAAGTGCATTTGGCATTTTCTGTCCTGTGCCGATGCTTTCTGATAGCTATCTTCACTCCCTCACTGTTATGGCCGAGCGTCATATTGAATTTGATCCACAGAGCGACAGATGCGCTCACAGATTGAGAAGAGCTGCAGCCCCTGGGCTATTACTGTATGCCACGCAATAGATACAATATGTAAATGAGAGGATTTTAAGAGACACTGGCGCCCTCCTATCAGTTTATCAGTGATGTGATGTGGAGATACACTATAGCTCCAGTGACACAAGGGAAAAAGATTCAGAGATGGAGAGGAAAAAACAGGGCAACTATAAATAGCACCTCTGAGACAAAGAGAAAGGCCAAACGCGAGAGAGACAAAGGCAGAGAAAACACAACGCAATCGATTCTTGCACAACCAGGTACTCCGCTTTAATTCAAATCACTGGATTCTTACACAGCAAATCAATGCTTGGTCTCATTAAGAGGGCAAATCTCACAAAAACATGTCACAATTCACGTCCAAAATCAAAGGAAAGAAAAATTAAATAAACCTACCGCATTTACAAGCTTAGAGAAACCGTGTGCAGTAACTATAGGCAATCAGATCTCAGCGGCCATGTTTATAACAATAAAGCATTTGCTTTATATCACAACTGTGTGAAAAAGCATATTGCTGGGCTGATTATAAACAGGAGCTAGGTTCACATCAACTGTACAGTGTTTGCACAACTTTAAAACACCAAAATGAAATGTATCCGACAAGCTTGTCTTATTAACAGACAGGATTTCTGTTGAAACTATGCTCTCTTAGTTAGAAAATGAGGGTCATATTTTTAGACGTAGCCCATATAAACATGACCGTGCGCAATCACACCTCTAACAGGCATAAACCATACACCAGAAGTCATTCAACAAACAGTTCAGCGAAACACTTGCAATATGCTGCAAGTCATTTGTTCAAAAATAGATCGAGAAATCGATTAAAGAGAGCAGGAAAAGAACGATATGACGCAGTTCAAATTACATAAGCAAAATAAATACTTTTTAATTGAGTGACATGGCAGTAGAGGACAGAAAGTGTGTGCTCAAAATGGATGCAAAAGATGATTTTCTCCCGTCTTTCACATTTGGACACTTGTTTATCAAAATTGGCTGTTCTCTTTTCTAGTATTTCACTGAAACAATGAAGCTCATTTTACTCTCGGCACGACTGTCAAGCAAGAAATGTAGAAATCCTAAAGCTTTATACATAAATGAAAAGATCATCCACTGAACCAATCCAAATATGAAAATTCTGGCATTACCTTTATTTCCATGTTGTTCAAAATCTTTATGACTTTCTTTCTTTCATGGAACACAACATATAGCAGATTTTATTAATAAAAAAAATAAAACAAAAAAAAATAAAATAAAATAAAATAAATTTTGGGCACTATATTACAAATCTTGTAAAGCCAAATAATATATTTGACAATTTTTTAAACAATGTTTTTTGTTTAAAAAGTTCAACAGCCTCAGATTATGGAATATTCAACATTGTGGTCTATTTCTCCTTTTATGCTCCATAGAAAAAAGAAAGTCATAAAGGTTTTTGGACTGGCATGAGGGTGAGTAAATGACAGACTTTTCATTTTTGGGTGAACTCTCGTTTGAAAACAAAGTTTTACAGATTATACAGTCAGCGGATGGCACAAATGGGTGCATTTTTAAAGCAGTAAGAGATTAATTCACATACTGGAGTCCTAAAATTAAAATCTAAAACACTGCATCCATGTTTCAGTACTATATATATATATATATATATATATATAGGACCACTCTAGGATTGTTTGATTCTTTTCATTCAACCAAACCATTGAGCTAAATGCGTTTACCTAACAAACTACAGCTAACTGACAGCAGCATGTGAGGAGTTTCAATGAGGTCAGATTTGAAGCAAGTTACACTCTCATCTACAAAGAAGTGAGACAAACTAGCTACTTGCTTACTGAGCATTAAAAAGTGCATATTATCACATGCGTCATCAAAATATGCCAGCTGAGCAATCATCTGTGATGATTGACTGTTATCTAGGAAAGATAACCAAATATTTCAGCACAACAGTTAGACCAATGATTACATATTTATACATCAATAAATATAGAAGTATCAATTTAATACACAAATGAATAATTTAGGGTTTAAACAATAAATAATACACTAGTTCACAACACACAAATCTCGTGTTCCTTCAATGAAGAGCCAATTTACAATAGTCAGTAATGAAGTAATAATTTCACCCTAGAATACATTCTTTGAACACCTCTGAACTGGATCGATTCGAGACCGGTTTGCAAACAAGACACTTGGGAACACTTAGGCCCAAGACATACACTACGCAAGTACATGAACACAAATGCTTTTAGCTATTTTCACATATTGCTGCATTGTAAACTTGTCAGCAATTTATAATCACACGCAAATACACATTGCAATTCTCAGTGTTGCCACAAGGGGTGCTATACATTAGTATAAATTGTCTTCTTCTGGGGTCAGTTTACTGTCATGGCAGAGTAACAGTTTGTTGAGGATCCTGCTGAGCTAGTTAAAGTTGGTTAAACTGTCATGATTTTTATAGTCAGCTACCACAATAAAGGGCCATTCACACAGAATGTGGTTTTGTGGTTAACAATGTTGGACATCGGGGCAAAAAAAGTCTCAGCATTAAAATTGTCATTTTTAAGAAATTCAAACAACAAATACAGTTTTGTGGCTCTTTAATGTGTCATGACACTGCTGTAGCGCCTCAGTTTAAGCGGCATGTGAACCGATCGTATTTTTATATTTACTTATAGGGGTCATATGATGCGAATTCAATTTTTCCTTTCTCTTTGGAGTGTTACAAGCTCTTGGTGCATAAAGAAGATCTGTAAAGTTGCAAAGACTAAAGTCTCAAATCCAAAGAGATATTCTTTTGTAAAAAAAAGGCTAATTCTAACACGCCCCCACATGTCTACGTCACTATTTGGGCGGCGTTATGCAACTCTTCCCACATCTTCACGCAAAGAAAGAAGGCGTCACTTTTATTAAATGTTCTTTTTAGCAGCATCATATGACCCCTTTAAAGCACGAAATAAACATGAATGAACATCAGAAGGTATTTTATTTAAATCGCGGAAAGACGTCAATAACCAATTTTTCAAGTTTAAATCCACCAATGTTAATCTACTCTCCTGTCTGATTTGTTTGTCGGACAAAATAGCGGATTCTTTGTTATGATTGGTCAGATCACCTGCCAATCAAACTCCCTGCGAAGGGTCAATTGCACCACTAGTAGTGCAAAAATTGAACATGTAGTTAAACTAAATGTTCAAAAGAACATTTATTTCTATTTTCTATTTTGTGTATAAAATACAACAGACAAACAGGTAAACCAAAAATGATGCTAAAGTAGCATAATGTAAAATTTGTTCAGCTAAAATATCGCAAGGAGGCTCGTTGCTGAAGAGATACCCAAATTTAATTACCCAGACTTGATTTTTGGTTTGGGTTTTCAGCTAAATGAAAACTTTAATTATGAGCATCACTAGCTTTAAATATGTACAACAGAACTGCATGCAAGCAACGCATTGGCCAAGCATTTGCATCTGTGTTTGTGTACTGCGTAGAGTAGACTTCTGGCTTTGGGTTTCAGAAAAGAAACCACTGAGTATTCAATACTGATATACACTCTTCTGAACCACACAACAGAAATTCCTTTAGGTGAAATTCCAGTTCTACTATAATGAAACTTATTTCAATAACCTTTTAGTCTTTCGACTTATTCAATACATTATTTTACACTTTTCAATACTTAGCATATAGAAAACAATTTAGCCACACTTTCAGTAACTAAATTTGTCAGTTCATCCTGCAAAGAAATATATATATATATCTTTATAAACAGATAAATGGCACAAATAATAGATGGAATGTTTTGAACATCAAAAAACACAAATATACCAAAATTATGTTCTTGTAATACGTGTTTGTTTCTTTTAAAAAGTAAAATTTTTGGCAAATTTCAAGAGCAAATGATAACACACCTGACCTGACTCAAGTCTTTAGTACGCTATATTTCTAACTACTGATCTGGCACAGGCTTTTGTTTAGGAGAAACAGGAAGTGTTCAGGTAGGTTAATGAGAGAGTGAGCGTACACCGCTTACAACATGGTAGATGCGCTGTGTTCCCCACGTTCGGATTTATCATACCGTCAAACTAATACATGGGCAAATGGCTGTAAAAGCGTATTTTGGACTGCAGATTAGGATGTGGTGGCTTGAGCGTCAGAAGTGTGCTGTGTGACAGAAAAAGCAGAATACCGACTGGAATGATGGCCTGGGGTCAGGATGGGAGGTGCGTCCCGCGCTGGGCTCTCTAGGGCTCCCAGTCGTCATCGTGGTGCTGAGAGGCGATGATGACCACAACGGTGAGTATGGTGCAGAGCACGATGGAGGCGATTCCCACCGCCAGACTGATGAAGGAGAAGTTACGTGCCTCGCGCGAGGCGATCTCTGCTGTAACCATATCGCCTCGAGCCACAGCCGTACGCACCTGAACAAAGAGATTCTATTTAGTGGATATCTAGGAAAATAGATAAAATACCCGTTCACACCAAATCTGAAGTTATTACATTAAATTCAGTTAAATTGTTTGGATTATTGTAAACTTAGATAATACAACATCACACTAAAATGCAGCCACTAGACAAAAAATATCCTATTTACTAGATATCTCGAATAAATCGATAAAATACCCGTTCATACCAAATCTGAAATATTAAATTAAATTAAATTGTTTGATGCTAACAAAACCCCTAACTGAACAGAATTATGTGTAAATCATTGTAAATGAGATAATACAATAAAGCAGCCACTAAAACAAATAGGACAAAAATATCATATTTACTAGATATCTCGAATAAATTGATAAAATACCTGGTCACACCAAGTCTGAAATTAAATTTAATTAAATCGTTAAATTAAACTGATGCTACGAAAATGTAATTGAACAAACACCAAGTCTGAAATTAAATTATTAAAAGAAATTAACTTGTTTGAAAACCTAATTGAACTATATTTTGTGTAATTTGTTTGTAAATTTAGATAGACAATGTGACAACGAAACGCAACCACACAAGTGACAAATAATCCTATTTAGTATATATCTAAAAAAAAATAGATAAATACCTGTTCATGCCAAGTCTGACATTAAATGAAATTAAATCGAATTATTAACTTGTTTGTTGTTAAAAAACCCATAACTGAACAAAACTGTGTGAATCGTTTGTCACTTTGAAATGTAACCACTAAACACATATCACATAAGAATCCTATTTAGTAGATATCTAGAAAAAAATGGATAAAAATAAAATGCCTCAAAGCAAGTGTGAAATTAAATTAGTACATTAAATTAAGTTTTTTTCATGTCAAAACAACCAAACTGAATGAAATTCTGTGTAAATTATTTACAAACAACCACTAAACAAATATGTGACTCTGGAGCACAAAACCAGTCTTAAGTCACTGCGGTATATTTGTAGCAATAGCCAAAAAAATCTTGTATGCGCCCAAATGCTCGATTTTTCTTTTATGCCAAAAATCGAGTCAAAAATCAAAGTAAAGATCATGTTCCATGAAGATATTTTGTAAATGTCCTACCGTAAATATATCAAAACTTAATTTTTGATTAGTAATATTCATTGCTAAGAACTTCATTTGGACAACTTTAAAGGCGATTTTCTCAGTATTTATATTTTTTTGCACCCTCAGATTCCAGATTTTCAAATAGTTGTATCTCGGCCAAATATTGTCCTATCATACAAATCATACATCAATGGAAAGCCTATTTATTCATATGATGTATAAATCTCAATTTAAAAAAAATTGACCCTTATGACTGGTTTTGTGGTCCACGGTCACATATGACAAAAAATGTTTTGGTAAAAATCTAGAAAAAGTAGATAAAATAATAATATAAAGTTTTATTTAAATGAAATTAAATTAAAACAAAAAATGTAACTAAATTAAATTAAATCGTTTGATGTAAAAAGTCGAATTGTGTGTAAATCATTTGTAAACATAGATAATATTCCAGACTTAAATGCAACCGTTTACCTAATGGTTTTATGAACATGTGTTTAATTCTTAGTAGTTCACTTGTGTGAACAGCCAGCATGAAACAGAAATGATATCCATGAGCTGATTCATATCTCAGCCCTGCTGGCATCAGAGCTTGGCCTGGGCTCAGTTACCTGCACGGCTTTGATGATGGCGATTATTCCTGTGGGCCAGAAGCAGCAGACGGTGGTGAGGACGGCGATGGGCAGGTAGTCGTGAGGAGGACGACGAGACTCCATCAGAGCAATGCCATTTGGCATATGCATGGCCATCTGGCCGGGTGCAACACCTGGATGAGGTGCACCGTTGGGCATGTAAGGCTGCGCCTGAGGAAAAGAAACACACAGGAAAGGCCATGCATAATTCCTATATCTTTACTGGACATGACAATATAATACTGGACAGGCATTATTTCCTTGAAAATTCCTTACATTTTTTCTTTAGCAGCACAGGAACTGAAATAGGGCTGCACAATCAAATCAAAATCAGAATATACCTTAGTGCGATTATCAAATCCATCGTGATTAAACACTATGTATTTATCATGTATGCCGGTTCAATTTATTTTCGCATAATTAACAATATTTTTGAGCCTTTCACAAGATTTGTAATGAGAAACCTTTCTAAACATGCTGTCTACTAAACATCAGTTTTCCACCAAAATTAAAGCTTGAAGGCTTAACATTTGAAAGTGAAGAAATTAACACATAACTATTAGTATTATAACATCACTATTGTAGTGTAAAATATTATCATAACAGTAATATTTTTAGTTTTCTTTTTTAATTACCACATTTTTTATTATTAAAATATCAAAATGCAGTTCAAAACAGAATTGCAATATATGACAAAATAATCTCAAATTAATTTTTTTAATAAATTGCAGCCCTAATCTTAAATAATTTATTTGGAGATGAACTAGTTTTTGCTATGGTAAAAAAGTTGGTACCGAGAACCATGAAATTTTACTGGTATCTAAACCTAAAAAGAAAATATCTATTCCACATTTACTATATCAGCCAAGAAATGTCGAGGTTTTACTAATACATTTTTCAAAATTCACTAATATTGGCAGATAAGAGTTAAATTCTGGATATATCAAGCATATCATCTCCTCTGGTATATTTCCAACTTGGAAAGTTATTTGTCCTCCAGGGATGCAAAGGAGTCACATCACATTTCACATAATCTTCTAAGTATAAGAGAATCTGTATACTTTATTTAAAGAGCAAGCCTATAATAACACTCAAAAAAAAACATAAAAATACATACTGTTAACAGAACCATTCATCTCCCTATGTTTAACTACTGTAGTATGTTGTATCCCGCTCTCATGCTATATACATCTGGATTATCCTGCGCAGTTTAAACATCTTTTGAAATGAATCCCCACTCACCCCTGTGCCTATGGGATAGACGGGCACGTAGGCCGTGCAGGGCTGCAGCTGGAGGGGGTATCCTGTATGTAAATAGCCCACTGGGGGATGAGGGACGGTACCCACTGGTCCGTGCGTCTGCACCGGGTATCCGTTCGGAGCTCCCTGGGGCCCGAGGGTGCCGCAGTGGAACTGGGTTTCTTGCAGGTACCCCTCTGATCCAGGAGGGGGAGGGGGAGGGGGGTAATTGGGCTGTGGGGCACAGCCAGGTGGAGGAGGATGTGGGGGCATGTTGGGGTCCTGGGCGGGGAGGTAAGGAGGTGGAGCCATCTGCATCATCGGCTGAGACATGGACTGCCTTCCCGCTGCCTCCTCCAATCCTGAGCCGTGACACAAACACAGTCATACACCACAAATATTTATAAGAGCAAAGGCCCGTTCACACCAAGGACGATAAGCACAAGAGAAGCTGCATATTTTACTTAAAAAGCCTGCCTATAACCATAAAGATAAAGTTCTAATTCTATGAAAATAGGGAAGTTTACACGACCGTTATAATGAAAACAACACAGAGGAACAATATTGTTGGAATCACCATCAGGATGATTTTTTCAAGCTGATGAACAATAAAAACATTGACAGCCAATCAGAATCCATCTGACTTTAAAAATCTCAAACATTTAAAGTGGTAGGTGACAAAACTGCAGCTGGTGCTTAAACGTAACAGAACCTTTTCGGTGGTGTGGATGCTAATACATTTACAGTTATAGTTATCTTCTTATTCGTGTTTAGTATTGAGAAACGGTGTGTGTGTTCGTGATGGTGATATTAGTAACATTGTTCTGCCATTAGAGACTGTTTTTACGAGTCAGCAGTAAAGACTTTTATATTGGAAAAATAAATGCTGTAAAGGAAGTTATTTTCACTTCCAACAACAGCTTGTACGCAGCCAACAAATGCACTGAGCAGCGCTGTCATCGGAAATCACCCTTAACAGATGAAAGGATAGTACAAGACTATCGGACATTGTTTTATTGTGAATATGAGATTGATCTGAAGAATCAATGCTGTATCAGATGCAGGTAATCACACTCGCTCTGTCAATCTCTATCATAATACTCTACTGTACATAATAAACTGCTTTTAGTACAGTAATACAATAAGCTTTTAATGAAGCAACTCAACGTTCCTTCGTTATCGTTACTAGTTCTAAAGTGACGTTTTGGAATTAGTAACAGAGGCTTGGGCTCAGCTGTTAAATTGTCAACTTTAGATTTGAATATGTGGCGGCAGGAAGTAGTTCTGCACAAAAGAGGGCTTTTAAAGACACTCCGTTGTTGTTTCTTATGCTTTTGCCATCAAACTGTTGTATAAGTGCAATATCACACTCGTAGACGAGAGATATGGCTGAATATCGGCACGCTGTGATTACCTACGGCACTCAGCCTGCTGTCTCGTACCTACAGCCGAATCACAGCCGTGCCGATATTTATGAGTATTTTGAGAGCGTTCCCTGCAGAAATATTTTGGTGTGATTTGCTCACCGCGACTCTCTGATTGGTGGAGTTTATGCAGAATTGTGGGAAAAGTAGTTTTTCACCAGGAATTTTGCTTTTAAATACAGGGGAAGAAATACACAGGGATACATATTTAATGCATAATTTTCTGAGCATATTTAAATAATCTTGTCTATTTGTGTACTCTTTTCTTTCTAACATTGTGCAGATTAGGTATATTAAACAATTAATATGAATCATTAATATACTTTAATTCTTTGTCTAAATAGTTGACAAAGAGATTAGTACTGTACAGATTGCAAGACATTGATTACACACTCATTACACAGAAATATTTTTTTTTATAAGGAAGTTTACTGATAGGCTAATCCAAAAGGTTCTTATATGTCTGCGTTATTTCAGAAAATCACGCTACAGCTTCAAGTGATTAGGGCCCTCCATCGCTCAGCACGATGAATCACGGACCCAAGGGACCTCATGCCTGAAATAGGGCCTCATACAACACCCTTTAAACCACATACTGCTATGTGCCTCTTCTCTCATGTAATGAAACTCCACACAGCCGTTTCTAATGTAGCCTATATGTTAAACACGACACTATCTATACCTGAGAGAATAACGAACACGACGGTTGTGTCTCAAATACTAGCGAGCTGCCTACACAGACAGCGTTTATGGTGATCATCTGCTAGTTTTAATTTTTCGAAAGGCACATATGAAGCCCAAAACGCTTAGCATATTAGATTATAACAAGCAAAACTGCAGCACACGACTATAGACATAAGGCTACGCGCTGATTATGATGCCTAGATAGGCAGCTCACTAGGATTCGACACACAGCCTAAATATGACTATATATAGATGAAATAAGGATGAACAATTAAAAAGGGGAAAAAGAAAAAAGATTAACAACAATATTCATGAATGGTCGTATAATAGCGTTTTAATATGGCATTGTCTCTCATTTATTTTATAATAAATACCTTTGATTTAAATGAGTCGCCCAGCTGCGTGAGCTGATTTAATTAGCTGTGGTATGACCAAATACATAAATAGACATTTTTACCGTGTTTTTCCGACGACATCTCGTTTATTTATCCGTTTCGACGATGTTCAGTTTGTCCCTCCAGTAATAAAACCCCAAATCCAACCAGTGCGTGTGTCAGATCACAACAGACGATGCTGATGATTTCTCCAGGCTAATTATAACGCATCTTCCAATGGTAATCCTGATGTATGCTGTGTAAAGCCTGGGTTATCTAGGTGTAAAAGCGACTGGATGTCTGTTGCTGCTTTTTTCCCACGTTCACACACTGCAACATCCAGAGCAGCAGTAGCAGCAGCAGCAGAAAAACAGGTTTCAACTAACGCATCTAGTTACACTGAATTAACCAGAGCGTCTTAAAGAGACAGCAGAACCACACTACGGCACCCATGCCGCACATATCATCACGTTAATATGATAAATTTAATAATACTAAAACTAATAAAGTATGTTTACAAAAAGAAATGAAGAGACGGAAATTTAAAACGGAAAAAGAAATTAAGAACGCCGAATAATGTGGTTACCATGGTAACTAGTTTCCGATAAACTACCATCGTTATTGTTACAATAAAACTGTGGAAACTTGGCATTAGCTAAAATTGACATTAAAATATTACAATCGCATATTGTTTTAAGGAGATACCATATTTATTTATGATGGTTTTACAATATAATACCTGTAACTGTAGTATTGTACTTTGGGTTGTATGCAGCTTTAAATATTTTTAAGTAGGCCTAAATCTAAAAATCAAATCTGATTCAATATATTTTATTTTTTCTGATTACAGTCCTGATTGATCTGAGGGCTAATTTATGATTTTTTAAATTTATTTATGAACTATATTTAATGATAAAAAGTGGGTGCAGAGGGTTAAGAGAGAGCAAAAATGCAGCGCAACCAGAATATATAAAGAAACATCGTGCATGACAAAAGTAAAATAAAAATAAATAAATAAAAAATGACAGCAAATGTGAGAACAGCGATGATATCGACACACAAACATAAAAGAAACACCACTGCAGTTAAAATGCTCACAATGCAAACACACTGTATAATTTCTAGTTTTTCTGACAATATGGATGAAACCAGTATTCCACATACAGCTCATTTTATTGCTGTACAGTTAGTTGCAGTTCATGGCTGATGTCAATCTCCATTTCATATTGAGATCACATCTTTGGTCAGGTATGAGGGGTGAATTACTCCTTCACTCTCACATTCATACTCAACTCAATGTAAACATACACTCAGTAATTCAAGTACAGTTTCTCAGGTCCATATTCTGCACGCTCTATTTTGTATCCAAATCAACACGCAAACACATTCTGCCTCTTGCTCGCTCTCTCAGTGTGTGTAGAGCGAGGCGGTGAACACAACGTCTCTGCGTATGGCCAGCGAGGCCCTTTCCATCTTGCTGCCCAGGACGGAGTCGCCCACAATGCGCGCAGCCTGTCTCACTTCCTTCAGGATCTCATCCAGCCTCTAGATGCAGCGTACGATCGTCCCCTCCTGCACATCCGTCAGCTGGGCAATCTCAGAAAATGGCTACCAAACACAAAAACATCAGCATTATCCCAATAAGGTCCTATTGTGAAAAATCTTTATACAAAGAGGAATTTTAATATAGTGACATTAATATCATTGCATTACAAGAATATGAATATTTGTGCAAAGTGCTATTATTAGAGAAGCTACATTTAAGATAAATAGATGGATAGATGGATGGATGGATGGATGGATGGATGGACAGACAGACGGATAGATGGATGGATGGATGGATGGAT